CTATAATAAAACATTGTTTGTATGACAAAAATCTTGAAAAGTATAATATTACTAAGAGCTTGATACATTTTGGAAGCACAAATTTCTTATGCTTACTTGAAGTCATATAATTAATAAAAAAACTATACATTTGAAAAGAAGGTAGTGTACAATTCTATTAATACACATCCTTCAGCTAAGTGGCCATGTAGGTACCTATTAACTGATTTTGTTGATGTCATCTTTGAATCCATTATGCTACAAGCTATTTGTGGCATTTGATAAGGAAGTAAGTATTTTCAGTAAAAAAAACCCACTAAGAGGCTGGCATTAATATATAAATCACTTGTGGAGAGTGATTCTGCTGAAAATAAAGTGCCTATGGCTGCAATCCTATATACACTTACCTGAGGGTAAGTCTCCTTGAACTTAGTGGAATTACCTTCTGAGTAGACATATATAGCATTGCATGGCATTATTAAGACCTCCTTGTCTATCATAGTTTACATCTAGTAACATAAGGTATGTGTTTGTTCCTCAAAGTATAAGGTATAGGTGTTGTTATTTTGACTTATAAACTTTCCTATAGTGCTAAAGCTCTCTCTTGGTGACCTACAAAATTCTGCAAGGAATATTTTACCCCCTCCCCCCAGTGAGGTGGGTATTCATTTTACCAACTTTGAAAGGATGGAAGGTTGAGTCAACCCTGAGTTTCACTTGAATTCGTTAGGATCAAACTAAGGTAATGAGCAGAAACTTCAGTGCAGTATTACAGTTCACTCACTGCACTATGAGGCTCTGTGCCAAAGCTTTGGCATTATATGATTCAATTTTAAAAACAAAAACTATCCAGTTTATGAATGTGGGATATTTTACTTCTGTAGCTATGATTCAAAATGCAAGAAAATGGCCCAGTATTGCTGTACAATATCATGACTGTGTTGCCAACAGGAAAAAGGATGCCAACCTTTACATAACAAAGGGCAGCTTGAATGTTAGCAACACCAATGGCAACAGTCAGGATGGTCTACAGGATACCCTTTTGTGCTCACTGCCATTCACAAAGTGACACCAAGTAAGGGAAAATCCCAAAGCTGATTCCTTCCCCCCCCATCACTTCTCACAAAGCAATTGTCAGGGCTGTTTTTCAACAAGTTAAGCACAAGAGGGCATCCTGCAGACCATCTTGATTGCTTTAATCCTAACTGCGGCTTAAATAAAAAGTTTGTACTAATTAGGCTCTAGAATAAAGCCACTGAATCAGTGAAACTTAATTGTGTTGTGACTTGCTAACTTCTCATGGATCAAACAGTTTTCCAAAAGTACATCTTTGTGACCAGCAGTCGAATATCAGTGTTCATTCTGAATTTCATTGGGATGAACTCTGTCACCATGCCTAAATATTTAGTTACTTAAATAGTAAATCTTTTTCCCAATCACAGAGATATAACATAAGTCCTAGTCAAGTGATTGGTAATCCACTCTGAGTAAATATGCAAAGAGGAGATTGTGTTAGCCCTTCCCCAGTCTTCTCCGTATGTGCAGACCAGTAGCCTAGAGAAAATACCCTCTTCAAGGCACGGAGAGAACCTCCTCTAACCTCGGTTTTCAAGCTTTCCTGATGACAAGAGGTGACCTCATCAGACGGTCATTCTATGAATTAACAGAAAATCAAGACAAAAGAATTATGGCATCTTAAAGACGGACAGATTACTTCAATTTTAACGTTCATGAGTTACAACCCACTTTCTCAGACACGTGGAACAACCATGTGAAAAGTATTTCCCCCATATTAAGAAAGTGATGAGGGTGATGATGGAAGGAGGATGGAACTAATGTGGTTATCTTCCGGATGTGTTTACAGAATCCCTGAATTGGGCTTAAGTTACACTGCAATTGTAATGGAATACTTTCACTTCAGGAGGGATAATTTCACCACTTTTGCAAAACAGCATCAACCCTTATTAATACTTTTACGCTTATGGTGTGCGTAGCTTCACTAAATGTATCACATGGTTGAAGCACTGGTGTCAGTTACGTCTTGTGCTTGTGCTTCCTTCTGTCTTGTTAACCTGGTTTGAGGTTACAAACAAACCAGACAGGAGGAACGTAGGTTTTGTACTGCAGGCCACTGAGTTATAGTGTGAAGTGGTGTTAGTTTAAATAACTAAAATTAGTAATATTCTAAAAACAAGAAAGTAGAGTTGCTTTTAAAAAATATTACTGTTGAATGGCAGATCAGGGAATAGAGACGCAGCCTGTGCTGGATGGGCTTACTCTCCCCCTGAATACATGGCACATAGCTTGAGGGTACTCCTGGTTTCATCTCTGAGCCTGGATGCCCATGTTTTGGTGGTGTCCAGGAATGCCTTCTTGGCACAGTTAAAACTAGTGCACCAGCTGCAGCCGTTCCAGAAGAGGTTTGATCTGGCCACCGTGACACATGCTTTAGTTAAATCCTGGCTGGAGTACTGTAACACACTCTACATGGGGTTTTGGAAAGTATCAGGAAACGTCTGCAGGTCCAAAATGCTGCAAGGATCACATAACTCTCCTGTTGCAGCAGCTCCACTGGTTGCTGTTCCATTTCTTGTATTGACCCATAAAACCTTAAAAAGCTTGGGTCCAACTTATCTCAAACACCACATCTCCCTTTATGAGCCTGCATGAGTTTAAGATTGTCAGCAGAGGCCTGTCTCCTAGTCCCGCCTTCACAGCTGCACTTGGTGGAGACAGAGGAGAGGCCCTTCTCTGTTGCTGCTCCCAGACTCTGGAACTCCCTCCCATGAGAAGCCAGTTTGGCTCCAGTCTCACTGTCTTTCTGCAATCAGGCAAAGACCTTTCTCTTCAGGCAAGCTTTCTTTCGGTGATTGGATGTCTAAGGGTTTTTTTTAAACAGGATTGCTCTATTTTTGTTGTTTCTTAATGTGTTTTTAGTACTGTATTGTTTTTATCTGTAAGCTTTTAATATAGTTGTTTAATTCTTTTTAAATATTGAAACTTATTATTTTTAGCTTTAATATTCTTTTTTTAAAATACAGTAAGCCACCTTGGATCCTTTTTAGGTGAAAGGTGGAGTGATAATATTTTTAGTAAATAAACAATAATGAAAAATTTAATGATAACTAACTACATTTTGACTGCAAATACTTTCTTTTTAAGAGTAGCTTTTCAAGCTCCATGAAATAATTAGAATTTCCTGAACATACATAGAACACCATTGACATATTTGACCTCACTGGAAGCTGTGTTGATGGCATTAAAAAAAACAAGTATGCTGAAGTGGGACAGGCATCTTGATGCAAATTTATGGCTTCTCTTGTTGTTTTCTTCAGTCCTCTTTTATGCATAAAAGAAAAGGTGCTAATTTAAAGTTTGCAGTCTGACGGAACTGCCTGGTCTGCATAATAAAGCATGGACTAGATCAGTTTTAGTTTGGGAACTTTTAAGTTCATGGGCATGGCAAAATCGGTATTGTTTCTTTAGGGGATTTCCTGAATGTCAATCAAAGACCAGTCCTTCAAAATGCCAAGAAATGTTCATGCATGCACCTTTACAACACATGTAGTAGTAGTAGCAATAGTAATACAGTGGTGACTCGCATAGCGATGATAATCGGTGCAGCAAAAATCGCTGCAAAGCGATTTCGTCGCTATGTGATTTAAAAAAGCCCATAGGAATGCATTGAAACCCCTTCAATGTGTTCCTATGGGCTTCAGACTCACCTTTAAACGAAAATCCTCCATACGGTGGCCATTTTCACTGCCCGGTAAGCGAGGAATCCATCCCAGAAACCAGTGGGTGGCTATTTTTTTACCCGGCGGCCACTTTGGAACCACCGATCAGCTGTTAAAAATCATCGCTTTGTAATGATCGGTAAGCGAATTTTTCCCCATTTAAAACATTGCAATGCGATCGCAAAATCTTCATCGCTATGCAATTTCGTTGTTAAATGGGGCGCCCGTTAAGCGAGGCACCACTGTAGTAGTAGCAGCAGCAGCAACAACAACAACAACAACAACAATAATAATGTCAATTGCCAGGTCTCTGTATTACATTAGTTTTTTTGTTGTTGTTGTTGAAAATAAAGAATTGGAAAAACTAACAAAATACAGAGACCCCTGGCAATTGAAACATCTCACTTCTGGAAGAAACACACTTCGGTGGGAACAATATTGAGACATTTCACACAGTACTATAAGCAGTTGCAGATCTCAGAAATAACACCATCAGAGCTACAAAACCCAGAAATATTAGAAACAGCATACATACTGAGTCGATATTTAACAGATACTTAGGTTTTTGGTTAAAACTTGTATCTGTTATATAATACCAGTCAATGTTTTTATAGTTTTAATTGACTATGCCTGGTATTTTTGAACAACAACAACAATAACAATAATAATGGGTGCATCAGATAGAGAAGGTGTCAGAAAATGACAAAGTCAAGATCTTGTGGGATTTCCAGATCCAAACTAGACACCTTTAGCATAATACACCAGACATAGTAGTAATAGAACAAAGAAATGCCTGGATCATTGACATTGCATTTCCAGGGGATGCCAGAGTTGAAAATAAAGGATTGGAAAAACTAACAAGATAAAGAGATCTGGCAATTGAAACATCTTGCTTGTGGATGAAACACACTTCAGTGGTCCCCGTAGTCATTGGGGCTTTGGGAACAATATCAAGAAATTCCACACGCTTTGGGAACAATATCAAGAAATTCCACACACTACTACAAGCAGTTGCGGATCTCAGAAATAACTCCGTCAGAGCTACAAAAACCGGCAATATTAGAAACAGTATACATAGTCTGACAATATTTAACAGGTTTTTTATTAACACTTGTATCTGTTATGTAATACCAGTTAATGTTTTTCTAATTCTGATTGACAGTGCCTGGTACAGTATTTTTGAATAATTTAGCAGCATTTCACTGCATGGACTTAACTGACTTTGTTTTCTGCTGGTTCGTCCAAATGTCCTATTCTTTAATGAGCAATGCATCCTAATTTCAGGTAGCAGAGAAGCAGCATTTACCTACGCCATCATTGCTGCTGGAGTAGCCCACGCGATCACTGCTGCCTGCACCCAGGGCAACTTGAGCGACTGTGGCTGTGACAAGGAGAAACAGGGACAGTACCACAAAGATGAAGGCTGGAAGTGGGGAGGCTGCTCTGCTGATATCCGATATGGAATAGGATTTGCCAAAGTGTTTGTGGACGCAAGGGAGATCAAGCAGAATGCGAGGACCCTCATGAACTTGCACAACAACGAGGCAGGGCGAAAGGTAGGCACTTCGGCTGACCTCTTCTCGGGCCATCATCATGTACCTTGTGCATATGCTGTGACAGCACTGTTTCTTTTTGGTTTGTGAGGAGAAGTTATCTGCACATCACAGGATAATTCGTTGGGCAGATACTTGTTCCAGATCAACACTTTCACAATGGGGCCATACACTGGACTAGGACAAATTTCAAACCAAATTACCCAGATTGGACCAATTTGTATGTGGTCCAGACCAACGCAAAATGGCTAGGTTTAGGGCTGGGGGTGATGCAAAAGGAATTTACATATTAATTTGTACCTGGAATACAAATCAAATCATATGAGACACAGATTGCTGCAGCCTTTTCCTTTCCTTTCCTCTCTGGAAACAACAACAGCATAATCTTAAAGTTGCCTAGAAAATAAACTCTGAAAGTTAGTTATTTAAGATTTGATAGAGGTAGGCTTATTCCTCCCTTTAGACTCTATCATAGCTTCAAATCTCTTACATGTAGTTACAAGAGCAACTATGATATAGCCATTTTGGCTTTTCAATAGAAGTAAGTGAGAGGCTGAGAAATCTCCTTGGATCTAGGGCATGGACAGAATCCCATAGGACACAAATGGCTGCAGACCAAAATAGAATACATTCGAAAGCCCTGAACTGGCCTTCAAATGAGACCCCATGCACAGCCCACTTTGCAGCAGTGAGGACCTATCACGAACCCTCACCATCACAACCAGTGAGGAGTACTGCTGGGAGCTGTGGTCCAACCATCTCTGAGAGACTGGAATTTGTCTCCTTTCTCCTTTACAGTAATAAATCAGAAAGTGAAACCAAACAGGGCACAAAGAATTGTGTGTTATGATCGAAAACACCCTGCTTTGTGTGTAGCTCAAAGATGGCAATGTTCTTCTGGTTTACGTAGCAATTCCTTATTTTCCATCACTGGAGAAAGCAATTGTGGGGGATTGTTGTCAGAGTCCTCACCCAACCATACCCAATATGGCCATAGGAGGCTGCCCTTGCTATCTGCTATTGGCAGGGCATTCTGGAGTGGGTGCTGTCACCCACAGCAGTTGCATGGCCTCTCCTACCCAGTGGCAACCACCTAAATTGGTCTATACTGTACAACAGGTCTAGAGGGCCAAGCATCTGCTTAGCTGATTCCTAGTCTATTTTGACAATATTAAAACTCAGCTAGTGGAGTGTAATTAATGAATTTCATGGTTCCTTTCCATCTTTGTGTTGCTTGCCCTTCTGGAATATGGGAGCTGGCAGCTTTTCCTGAAGGAAGTCAGGAAGTTTCTCTTTTTTGCAGGAAGTTAAGCATCATTGTTTCTGGGCAGTGAGTATGATGCCCAAACATTTCCCTAAGAGCCCTACAGAACTTTATAGATCTCTAAGAAAAATTCAGAAGCCTGTATTTGTCACAGCTGGCATTTATCCAGAATGACATCAGACAGTTATTTCCAATTATATTAAAACTCATCTGAGTATCAAGTTATAAGTCTTTTCATTGTTGCAATAACTCCAGGCAACATCAACTTGTCTACTTCTACAAGCTTTGTTTATCTACATTGCTTCTATATTCCACCAACACAAAATACATCAAAGTTGTAAAAATCGAAATGTTTTATAGCAATGAAGACTGTAGGCACAAATGCTTAAACAATATGAGAAAACTGAACTTAAGTTGCAGGCAGATATTTACATTAGAATTCAATCTGAAATACAGGAACGTAATGCAATAAAATATCAAAAACAATGTCTTAATAACATTCTCAAAATGCAAAGTGTTATAGCCTAAAAAGCCATGTTGGTGTTCAGTGTGTGTGGCATGACTTGTTGTATTCTTGTATGGGGTTTTCCCCCCCGCATAGCGACGAATCCGGATAGCGACATTAATCCCGGAACGGATTAAATGTCGCTATGCGGGGCACCACTGTATATAGTACCCTAAAGTACTGTAAAGTACTGTGACAGGAGGGCTGGTGTGCTGTAGTCCATGGGATCACGAAGAGTCGGACACGACTAGACAACTAAACAACAACAACAAAGTACTGTAAAACCAGAGCACAGCAGCTACAGAAAGTGCAAGTTATAGGACTTTGCAAACACCATCTCTGGTCACATTAACTCATTGCAACATTTTACCAATTATTTCAATACACTTTCAACTCTGTCCTTTGCTTTACTTCCACATTGAACTGTCAGCTATGAAGGAAATTCCTTTTGCTCGTCAACCTTTTATGTACAGTGACCTTACTTGGCTAGGCAAGCTGCCTAACAGTTCTGCAACAACCGTTGGCCAACTGCTGTTCAAACCTCATTTTTAAAGTACAATGCACATTTTTAGGATTACATTTTCTGCACCCCTTAATTGTTTTAATGTTCTTTACATATAAAATTTCACATATCGACAACAGGACCTTCCAATATTCAAACAGTACCAGACTTTTTCTGGAACAGAAAAGGGAACAGAACTCAGAAACAGAAAGTTTCACTGTTAGTGGAAGGTGAACCTGCATGGTTTTTCAAGCAGTCCTTTACTTTCTGTCACTGGTGAAAGCAAATGTTTTGTTGTTGTTGTCATTGTTGTTGTTGTTAAATCTGTAAACCTATTGATAACAGAATTGTGGAACCTATGATTCTAAACATAACTCTAATGCATCTTCGGGAACCAGTCTACTAGTCATAAAAATCTATGCTCTTATATGCTTTTTCGTATCACTTTCATTACTGACAATATTTATCTAGAGGTTGATCTTTACTGGCTTCACCAGGCAAAGAGTACAAAACTACGCTTATAGTGGAAGTTGCTCCTCGCACCTGTAATGCGGTAAGAAAAAGTAAAGAACCTCAGGCAACCATTTCCGATAGTAAAACTTTGAACCACAACACATGAGCAATGGAAATGTTGGGACATCCATTTTATCATGAGTTGCAGCTATTCTGAAGGTTCACTGTGCTTATTTAATGGGAAACTACGAGTCATAATAGCTACCGTAGATATTACCTATCTAGCAAAGACAGGATTACTGTAAATATCAGTTGTTGGGGAATGTCACTGCCATTGCCCCAACATCCTGCTTGTGAGCTTTCCATAGGCTTCTGGTTGGTCATGGTGGGAAACAGGATTATGGGTTAGGTAGGCTTTTGACCTGATCTGGCATGGCTTTTCCTATGTGCTTCTGTTTTGCATTCTAGAACTAGAAGTAGCTGGAATTTTTAGCATGTATACATTACTGAAACAGTGACGTCTACGTTGGATTGGGTATGTCGTGGGAATGGTTGATGGTTGGATTCCAAAAGATCTCCTGTATGGAGAATTAGTGCAGGGAACGTGCCCCAGAGAGAGCTGCGATAAAAGGATATCTGCAAGCAGGATCTGAAGGCCTTAGGAATGGATCTCAACAGATGGGAAACCTTGACATCTGAGCATTCAGCCTGGAGGCAGGCGGTGAAGCATGGCCTCTCCCAGTTTGAAGAGACACTTGTTCAACAGGCTGAGGCAAAGAGGCAATCCCAAACCCAGGAAAACCAGATTGTATTTGTCTTCAGTGTGGAAGGGATTGTCATTCTTGAATCGGCCTCCTCAGCCACACTAGATGCTGTTCCAAGTCCTCCATTCAGAGCACGTTACCATAGTCTCTCGAGACTGAAGGATGCCTAATCTAAATCTAATGTTTGGCATTCATTTAAGTATGATGCAATTGCTAAAGAGAATACCTTTTGCATTTCATTTCATCTGGCCTCCCTGTTTATGTTTTCCCCTCTCAGGCTATTGTACAGAAAGGTTCGTGTTATAATAAGGTGATGCAGGACTCCTTGTTGTAATTTTTATCTATACCTATGTATATAAATTCATAGGCTTGTCACCTGAGGATAATGCTTTGTGCATCTGAGGATGTAGTATCTAGTCTGTAAAAACTAAAGTGATCATAAATTTCACGAATACATAGATCATAAATTTGTTGGGTTTTTAAGAATCTCAGCACTCCATGACTTAAATCCAAAATAGGGTGACTGGACATTTGCTAGTGTAATGGGACTTCCTTTCCTTCTCTGCCCCTATAGCCTCCTGCACCTGCTACAACCTTATCCAGAAGGTTTCCCAGCTCCCTGGAGCAGAGTTTGAGGGTGCATAAGGGGTATAGAAAATTGCTCATCTCTTAGTTCTGATGGCAGCAACATTTCAGTGCTGGATCCTACACTTAGTAGGTAGCAGACTTAAGATAGCTGCCTCTTGGTAAACAACAGTGCAGTTCTTGCTAGGGAAAGGTCTTATTTATGATAGCTGAGATGCTTTGGTCTCACATTCAGGTGAAGAGATTATCTCTCTCACAGCTGGTCCCAAAAGCAAAATATTAATGTACTTTGAGCTTCTTTTGTGGCTTAGTGTAAAGGCAGTTTTAATGATTGCCGTCTTGCTCCCAAACACTGGATCAGAAACCTGACTCCAGTCTCTTTGAAGTGGGAAACGGTTGTCATACTTTGTCCGTATCATCCTTTAATCTGAAGGGCCATGTCTGTTACATCACTTATACATAAATGAAGGCAATAATTAGACCATAATGTGTGATTCATTTGGGATACTGAGCAACTTCTTTCTCTTCCTCTAATTTGGCAACAAAATAATTCTTAGTAAAGTATGAGAAGCTTGCCTCAGGTTTGGTGGCTCCATAGGGGTGTGACCTATGCACTGGACTTCTGGATGTACCTATCAATAAGGATGGTATATATCCAATTTCTGAAACAGATAATCAAAACACCATAATGTGGTATCAATAAAATGCCACAATGTGGTTCCAATGTACACATAACTGTCCATCCAATAGGTAACTTAAAAGACTCTGTTTTCATGTAGGTTCATGCAATAACTGCAGGAAAAGCCTTCATGCAACTGATGGGTACGTACTAAGGACTGTGGAAATCTCATCTTTCTGATGAGTACTGGAAGTCCAAGTAATTTATGCTTTTTAGCTAAATGTTAATTGAACTGAATTATTTCTCCATCT